ATCTGCCCCCTGGTGGTCAGTGCACGTCATAGTGAGCAGCTGAGTGGCCTTAGCATATTATTAGCATATTATGCTTTGATTGGTTGAACGCCGACAGGATGACCGGACACTTAGCATATTAGGCTTTTATTATATAGGGTAGCAAAGCCCTTAAGAGTATGAGGTCAAGAGCCAAACTAGCTGGGTTCATATTCTAGCTCTGTCATGTGTAGATTTGTGACATTAAGTTTCTTAAATTACTGTGGTTCAGTTTCCTCTCTGTGGAATAAAAGTAGTAAGAATAGGCTCACTTGTAATGCTTTAAGGATTAAATTAGCTCATTCATGTAGAGAACAGTACCTGGTATATAAGAATTGCTCACTGAATGTGAGCTGTTGATATTTTTCACCGGTGTTATGACAGCTCAGAATGGGAGGCTGTGGGAATCCAGACAAGCCTAGCAGGGAGGGGTTAGAGAAGGGTCTAGGGAGGAGGTGAGACCTAAGCTGAGGCCTGAGGTAGGAGGGCAGGGGTGATAGACAGGCTCCCAACCTCCAGGCTCTCCTCTTCCAATCCATCCTTTAGAGCAGGAGTGGAGAACCTTTTTTCTGCCAAGGGCCGTTTGGATATTTATAACATCATTTGCAGCCATACAAAATAATTAACTTAAAAATTAGCCTGCTATAGGCTCAATCCCCAGCTCTGGTCAGGGCTTGAGCGGGAGACAACCAATCAATGTGTCTCCCTCACACCAATGTTTCTCTCTCTCTGTCTCTCTTCCTCCCTTCCACTCTTTCAAAAAAATCAATGGAAAAAAATATCCTTGGGTGAGTATTAACCATAACAATAAAAAAATTAGCCTGCCAGTTTGGCTCAGTAGATGGAGCCTGCAGACTGAAGGGTCCCGGGTTCGATTCTGGTCAAGAGCACATGCCTCCATGGCAGGTTCTTCCCAGGCCCAGGTCCTTGTCAGGGCACATGCAGGAGGCAACCAATTGGTGTGTTTCTCTCACATCGATGTTTCTCTCTCTGTCTTTCCCTCTCTCTTCTCTCTCTAAAAAAAAAAAAAAATCAATGGAAAAATACCCTCAAGTGAGGAGTAAAAACAACAACAAAAACCAAAAAAAATCACCTGCTATATTTGGTTAAACATTTAATTAACGCACCCCTAAATGATTTTCCCCACACTTGCTCTAGAGCAGCGGTTCTCAACCTGTGGGTCGCGACCCCTTTGGGGGTCGAATGACCCTTTCACAGGGACCGCCTAAGACCATCGGAAAACACATATATAATTACATATTGTTTTTGTGATTAATCACTATGCTTTAATTATGTTCAATTTGTAACAATGAAATTGGGGGTCACCACAACATGAGGAACTGTATGAAAGGGTTGCGGCATTAGGAAGGTTGAGAACCACTGGTGTTGAGCAGGGTAACATTGGGGTAGGTGGCCGCCCAGGCCAAAGTTTCACATCAAGCTGTGTGTCTTGGCCTAATTAGCTGATAATAGAAGCAGAACTTCCAAAGGAGCAGACTGGCCTGGCTGGTGTGGCTCAGTGGTTGAGTGTCGACCTATGACCCAGGAGGTCACGGTTCGATTCCCAGTCAGGGCACATGCCCGGGTTGTGGGATTTATCCCTAGTGTGCAGCATGCAGGAGGCAGCGAGTAATGATTCTCTTTCATCACTGATGTTTCTCTCCCCCTCCCTTCCTCTCTGAAATCAATAAAAAATATATTTAAAAAACAACAACAAAGGAGCAGACTGGCTGAGAAGTAGATGTCCAGGACCAAGAGACCCCATGGGTCTCTGCCTGAGGCTGGTAGGGGGCAGCGGGAGGGCTGGGGACAAGGATCAACAGGACCATGTCAACCCCTGCCTCCATCCCAGGGACCGCTACCCACGCATCGGAGACATCCTGCAGAAGCTGGCGCCCTTCCTCAAGATGTACGGCGAGTATGTGAAAAACTTCGACCGCGCCGTGGAGCTGGTCAACACCTGGACAGAGCGCTCCACCCAGTTTAAAGTGATCATCCACGAGGTGCAGGTACGGCCAAGAGGGATGGGGCAGGTGGGAGGAGAGGTCTGTGGGGGCCCAGTGTGGGGTCTGGCCAGTCCTGAGCCCCTGTGCCTCTGCCCATCACAGAAAGAGGAAGCCTGTGGCAACCTGACGCTGCAGCACCACATGCTGGAGCCTGTGCAGCGCATCCCCCGCTACGAGCTGCTTCTCAAGGACTATCTTCTGAAGCTGCCCCACGGCTCCCCGGACAGCAAGGATGCCCAAAGTGAGTGCACACATCCGGGCCCAGCCCCGGCCAAGACTTCATTCACCGTCCAGCCTTCCTTTGCCACATAGTTGAAATCCCAAAATGGGATCTCCAAGCCGAAAGGCCCACCTGGAAGCTCTGGAGTGAGGCCCGGGGTGAACCTCCAGGCTGAGGACTCTGCCCGAAAGACACACACAGAACATTCAGGAGTCCCCACATCTGAAGTTCCCAACTGGAATGCCAGAGTTGGAGGCGCATGCCCAGAATGATCCCCTAAAGGCAGACACCTGCTTCCTAGGCCAAGACCCCAAAGCTGACCCTTAGACTTGTCCTCAAAGGAAGTTGTCCAAGTCCAGAGGCACTGAGCCACTAGGCTAGCGGTTCTCAACCTGTGGGTTGCGACCCCTTTGGCAGTCAAACGACCCTTTCACAGGCGTTGCCTAAGACCATCCTGCATGTCAGATGTTTACATTCCGATTCATAACAGTAGCAACATGACAGTTATGAAGTAGCAACGAAAATAATGTTATGGTTGGGTCACAACATGAGGAACTGAATTTAAAGGGCCAAAAGGTTGGGAACCACTGCTCTAGGCTGAGTCCAGACTGACCCGCAGGTCGGTCTCCACAGCTGAGCTGAGATTTGTCGGATTGTCCATCCTCCACGTTTAGAGCTCCACTCCCTGTCTGCCGGCCCCCACCCAGAATGAACCTCCCCAAACAGCCTCCGGGTCTGATCGGAGCCCCCAGCATCAGCTTTCCAGAACGGAGCCTCCCAGACTGGACTCGGTGTTTTCTGCCTCCAAGATTTACATCTCTAGGCTGAGATGCCGCCTCCCCACATTGAACCACTAGAAAGTGTTTCATTCTGCTTCCTCCGGTATGAGACCCACCCCCAGGGTCACACCCCCAAAAGTGCTCCCCAGAGTCTCCCCAGCTTTCTCCCAGTCTGGTCTCCTTGTTCACCATTCTATAGAAGGGTATTGCCAAACTGAGCACCCTGGATGAATCTCTCCATTTACTGCCCCTCAGACGGAGCCCAAAAGACTGACACTCAAGATCCATTCCGCAGACCGAGACCATTGAGTCCTCAGACTGGATTCCTAGAGTTCCCCAGTGTGAACCCCAGAGAGAACCCTGCGACTGAGCTACCTAGACTGAGCTCCAGACAGAAACTCAGACTCTCTTCTCCCTCGCCCAAGTCCCCCAAATTAGGCTACTTATGCCAAGCTCCAAGTCTGACCTTCTGTCTCAACTCCCAGACTAACTGGCCCCAGACCAAGCTCCCCCATTTTCTTTTTAAAATATATTTTTATTAATTTCAGAAAGGAAGGGAGAGAGAGAAAAATATTGATGAGAAAGAATCATTGATCAGCTGCCTCCTGCAAGCTCCCCACTAGGGATCGAGGCTGAAACCCAGGCATGTGCTCTGACTGGGAATCAAACTGAGACCTCCTGGTTCATGGGTCAATGCTCAACCACTGAGCCACACTGGCCAGGCTGTTGTGGTTCTTTTTAATGGTAATAATTATCTTGTTAAGCTTGTATTGTGTAGGCCGCCAGCTATCCCATGTATTATGATTCTGCATTGAGACAGTTTCTGATTTTGTGTGATGTTGCTATGGACATCTTTGAGGCTGGTGCTTTCTGGGATGGGGAGGGTGTAGGGAGGCCAGGAGGAGGTATTCAGGAAGCAAAGGAGCTCCCAAGAGCCTCTTCTCTGCTAGGCCTTCCTCCATCTGACTTCCCACTCTGCCCACAGAGTCTCTGGAGCTGATAGCCACCGCTGCAGAGCACTCTAACGCTGCCATCCGCAAAATGGTGAGTGGCCTCTCGCCCTGCCCTTCCTTGGCCACCCGCCTGTGCTGTCTCTGTCCTGGAGGGCTTGCTCCTCGAGGACATCGGTGGGGAGACCAGCACCCCAACCCTGCCTTTTGCTCACTGTCTCTTGCCAGGAGCGAATGCACAAGCTGTTGAAAGTATATGAGCTGCTAGGGGGTGAAGAAGACATCGTCAGCCCCACCAAAGAGCTCATCAAAGAAGGCCACATCCTTAAGCTGTCAGCGAAGAATGGGACCACTCAAGACCGATACCTCATATTAGTAAGTGCCAGGTGTGGGGTTGCGGGTGGGCCAGGCCCTCCATACATGTTGGCCTGGTACTCACTCAAGACTGTACCTCCTGCTAGTCAGTCTTTCCTCCATTGACCCATTGCACTTTCACTACCTACACTAGGAATGGTTTTCCCTCTACTTTACAGATGATATAACTAAGACCAAGAGAAGTGACTTGCCCAAGGTCACTCACCTAGGAAGTGACTCCCATGCCTAGACTCTTCCTTGCAACCTTTAT